GCCCGCTGCTCCCCTCAGCAGTGTACTTCATCCATCTACCTGTTTTGCTCCCCACTCTGTCTCTGGTGAATCCTCTCACTGTCCCTGCACCTCTGGCCTATACCCCAGTTCTGTATGCATAAATAAACAAATCTTTAAAACAATTCATTTAATTCAAAACACTATGAGGCATGTAATATTACTCATGTTTGTAATCTGAAGCCCAAAGTGGTTTTCTACAAACACACAACTGGTAAGCAGCAGAACCAGGATTTGAACATTATTATTATTAGATTGTCTCAAAGAGACCTACCCATTAGAGAATAAATCCAGCCTTTGCTTGGTAAATGATGCAGGACTAGATCAGTGAGCCAGTTCTGGCCTAGCTTCTAGCTTGTGTGTGCATACTTTATAGGATGACTGTGAGTACTAAGTGGGTCATACTTATAACATTTACTTACTACATGGTAGGCCCACATTAAATGTTAGTGACTGTTATTACAATTATATATTACTATTATCAAGAAAAATGTTTAGGGAAGGATTGCCAGGAAAAATGATAGGACACAAAGGAAGACTTAACCAGAGGCACAGTGGATCACATGCCATGGAGGAATAAAGGGACATGGGAGTTGACAATGTCTGAAGGGCCTAGCCTTTGGCCAATAACAGGTGACTTTTAACAGAGAATATTAGAAAGACTGAGGTGGAGCCAACTTGCATTGGAATGGAAACCGCTTGCAGAGAGATCAGCATTTTCTGTAATAGAAAGGAGAAAAGGAAAGGAAGAGTTTCTAGAGCAAGTTTATTTGTAAACTTTGAGGCAGTAGCCAACAAGAGTGCTATTGATAGTTGAAACCCTGAGCGGTACAGGTCCAAAAGGAGACTGAAAGAGAGCATCAAGGCTATAGGTGGAGGAAGGCAATTGTTTTGAAGAGTCAGGTCATTTCCTGGCCTGTAATATTGGTGGTGGTGGTGGTGGTGGGGGCAGTGGAGGTAAAGGGCTGTTCAGACGTAGACGCATCATAGGCATGGGTGATGGAGTTGAGGGACAGTTCCTAGGGAATAGCTCACTTTTCTTAGTGAAATGGACATAGAATCATCTGCTGTAAAAGAGAGTGTGAATCAAGAAGGTATTGAGAATAGTTGTTACTGAATGAAGCTAGCATAGGAGACAGGTAAAACAATTCTAGAGTTTAACCTAAAGCCTCCTCTAGTTCTGCAGGCAAATTATGAGAGTATGAGGTAGAAGAATCAAATTAATGGTAACAATTTACCGGAGAAAGCTCAGAGCTTCAGGATTACAGGTGATAAAACAATACACTAGTATTTTCCCTTTGGTTAAATTCTATACTCCTCAAATTTGATGAATGCCCTTTCTTTCATCTAGGATAAAACAAAATTAAGGACACTCATATTCAGAGCTTTATGTATAATAGATAGGATTAGTAGGATTAAGAATCACATGACATGTAAAAGAAAACTACAAATATTTAAATTATTCAGTATGTGTGCCTATGGCACATAATATGTCATCCTGCTGAATCAAGCAAACGTAAAGCCTCTCTCCATTATTAGTATCTTCATTCCCACAGTTACCTTTAAGGTAGCTACACCTCTGTGTGTCTCCTCTAAACCTAGCCAATAAGAGAAAAATATTTCACTGTTAGACTTGGTAAGGAACTTTTCTCCCTCTAAGCTTCAGAAAGCTGCTTTAGGATGCTGCTTGGAAATTGTTATTGTATATTTAATTGATGTAATGAGTTTTTCTTTCTTAAAAAAAGTTAAAATGTGCTATTTTGTTGTTCAAAAAATAAAACAACAACACTCAAAAAGACAATAGTATGAAAGAACAACATAGTGACTGCTCTATCATAGACTATTACTAAGCAAGGAAAATACCAACTATCCAGATAGAAGAGTAACACTGACTCCTTTGCCCTGCTCTGAAACCATTCCTTTCTACAAAAAAATTGCTTCCTATGAAGTTATTGCTCAGAGAGGTAGTTGACTTTTCAGAAACTCATAATAGGCTAATATGCCTAAAACATTTAAACTAAGCCTTTTTTTCTAAGCCTAAAATAATCCCACCACCATACCAGCACATTACTTAGAAACATGAGTGGAAAAGGAAAGATTTCATAGAAAGGATAAGATTTCATAGAGAAGCCATCTGAATCAGGTGATCACTGGGGTTTTAGTACAGGGATAGAGTAAGAGTGACTGGAGCTTAGGTAGCAGCAGTCTTGTTAATTTATTAGTTAGCAAGAAGGCCAGGATGTACTGTGTAATTACAAACATCCCAGACTGCTGAGTAATAAAAATTCAGTCAAAAAGCTTCACAAGTTCCCTTTTATGTGTCAGATAGGTGAATACAAATTGATGACTCAGTCTTTCATCTAAGAAGGCTTTTACTACTCTCACTAGGGAAGTTACCATATGTAAGAACATGTAGATTTGCTGCCACTCAATCATTACAATGGAGTCACATCTTTTTTTTAGGAAAGGGTTATAATCCAAGCTTAACGAGAGACATGTTTTTCTAAGTCAAAATTACCCCTAAACATGTCTCAGGGGAATTGTGTCAAGCCTTTTAGCCAGTTTTTCCTGTATGACTTGAATAGATCACTTTCTTTGGCTGAACACCCAGGTTACAACTAGAAGCTGTGTTGTTTGAAAAATATGTATGTTTAGACAATGCATGTACATTTGGAAATATGTTTTTGTTTTATACTTTTTAAGATCTATTAATGGTGGGGGGCAGGGGGGCTCCCTGGTGGCACAAGGGGTTAAAGCACAGCACTATGAAGTTATCCTCAGCCACTGCAGAACAAGTCCGAGTTCTATCCCCACCAGGGAGGTGACCCACATGGCAAAGCAGACCTCTCCTGTCTGGTCCTCCCCTCAGCAGTGCATTTCAGTAGATCCACCTGTTGTGCTCCCCACTCTGTCTCTGGTGAATCCTCTTACCCCCAACACCTTTGGCCTGTACCCCAGTTCTTGTGTGCATAAAAAAAATATGAATGGCATTGCATTGTACTTGTTATACATCTCTTTTGTTTCATCCTGTTAAAGTGTTCTGAAGGTCTTTCCATGGAAGCAACTTATGTTTTTCAAAATGATAACAGCAATATTTCTAGTAGGGTTGATTTCCCTATCCTTGAAGCTGGATGAGACTTTGTGGTTGCCTGGCTAAACAGAATGCTGCAGAACTGACATTGCTTGACTTTTAATACTAGGTCATAAATGGTAATATGTTTCTATCCAAATCTTTTTTGGAAGCCAGTCATTGTGCTCTGAGAAAGCCCAGTCAGTCCATTCTAAGTGATCACATGGAGATTACATGAAAACAAATAGAAATCTCCTGTCTGAAGCCCCCTGCCAATGTCAACCATCAAAATGAGAGTGGAAGAAGGTCTCTTGTGGAAGAAGGTCTGTAGTCTTTGATTCTAGCAACTGAGGCCCTATGCACAATGCAGCAGAAGAAAGTCATCCATGTTGCTCTCTGTCTGAATTCCTGACTCATAGAATCTGTGAACATAGTAAAGGGTCACTTTATACCACCTTGTTTTGAGGATAATTAGCAATGCAGCCATAGTTCATTGAAAGTTAATATGTATTTCAACCTATTAAATATTAATCACATTACAAACAGTAATATTCCACACCATTGATGCATCAAATGCTTATTCAGTCATTCCTGTGTTGCTAGACACTTAAGATGATTTATAACGTTTTAAATCATGGCTGGACCAAATAAGCTCTATAAGTATATGCACAAATGATAGCATTTCTATAAAAGTCTATAAATGAGTTTTTATAAGAATCTACAAAGCAATTGACGATCAAGAGATACAACAGTACCTGGCACTTGCTACCAGTTTTTATTATTATTATTATTTTTAACACAATAGGTTGAACTTCAAGATGAAAAGGTGGTTTTACTTAACTTTTTAGTAACAAGGATCCTAACACGTGTATGTCACAACTATTACTGTGTATCTCACATTTTAGAGTTTAAATGATGCCAGAAAGTTGCTAAGTTAGTCATAGAATTATATATGAAGACATCTATCTGCTGCACTCCGGACAAATCAGGCTTTTTTAAACTTAATTTGCTCCGTGCTCTGCTGAGTTACACCACCTGCCTTCCTCTTAGATTTTACAATGATCCTTGTGGATTAGAGCTAAAGGACCCAGGAGCAGGCTCAAGGGGTGCCGCAGCTCTTTCCCTCCGCACCCATGTAGGCAGACCACCGGCCGAGAGGCCAGTACACCCTTCCTCGGTGTTGCCAGTCCTATCCCAATTCATGCCACAAGTTTAGGAACGCTCTTTGAAGCGGTTATCAGTCTCTCCTTCCGACTCTAAAACACTTCCATGGCGTGTTTGCCGCAAAAGAGCACCTGTACTTCCAACCCTCCAGGGCCGGGGGCAGGGCAAGAGGGGGAGGAAGAGGAAGAGGACTACCTGTCCACCGTCTCTGAACTCAAAGGGTCAAAGACTACCCTGGATTCACATTGCCAATGACCAGGTTTCAACAGCCATCCCCACATTGTCACAGCTCCCGGCTTTTGAACTTCCATTCCTTTTTAATTTTCTTCTCCGATCTGCTCCATGTCAAGGGGCTCGGAGCCAGCCGCCCCTCTCCCAAGCCCCGGCACACTCGGCTTAGGACAACGTTGGAGTTTATAGAGCGGAGGAGGAGAATTTTGGGGAGACCGGTCTGCGGCGGGGTCAGCAGGCCGGGGCGGGCTTGCAGCAGGAGCGCTCGCTGCGCGCACCCCTCAGCCGCGGGTGGCGAGCGGCGCCCGCGGAGGAGCCGAGAGCCGAGAGGAGTGGGTGGGGGCGAGGGCTCCCACCCCGCGAGTTCCCGCCCCCAGCCCCACCCCTCAGCTCGCCGGCCCGGGAGCCCGCAGGAGACACCTCCGTCCCCGCCCCTCCGCAGGTCACCTCCTCCACGCCCCTTTCCTTTGGCCCCGGCAGCCGGCAGGCAGGGAAGTGTCGTAAAGCCAGGCCCAGGAAACTTTACCCGGGGTAACAGCCGAGGCGCTTTACGGCGACGGCGGCGAGTGTGAGCCTTGGCGGCGGTGGAGACGGCCGCGGCGAAGGAGGCGGCGGCGGCCGAGGAGGAAGAGGAGTGGCGGCAGTGGCGGCGGGGACCTGTGCGGGGTGAGCCGCGCGGAGGGGACGGGGAGGGGCCGCGGGTGACAGGGCTGGCGGCTGGGCCCGGGCGGACGGGGACGGTGGCCGGCTGAGCAGCTGGGCGGCGCTGAAGAGCTGAGGGGGGGCGGAATTGGGGGGTAGCTTCGTGAGGGACGGTTTCTGCCTTTGTTCCCCCCACCTTCGCCGCCCCCCGCCGGTCGCCCCCTCTGCGCCGTGCTCCCCGGCCGGGTCTCATGGCCTCCCCTCTCGGTCTGTGTCGCCTCTAGGATGGCGGAGGTACCGCCTGGGCCTAGCAGCCTCCTCCCACCACCAGCACCTCCGGCCTCGGCGGCGGCCGAGCCCCGCTGCCCCTTCCCGGCGGGGGCCGCCCTCGCCTGCTGCAGCGAGGACGAGGAGGACGACGAAGAGCACGAAGGCGGTGGCGGTGGCAGGAGCCCGGCGGGCCGCGAGGCGACGGCCAAGGGACCTCCGTGCCTTCGTTGCCCTCCGCCGCCGCAGGAGCAGCCGCAGCTCAACGGATTGATCAACCCCGAACTGCGGCACCTCCGGGCGGCCGCCTCCCTCAAGAGCAAGGTTCTGAACGCTGCCGAGGCAGCCACAACTACAGCCGCCCCCGACGGGGGCCCCAGAGCGACTGCAACAAAAGGAGCCGGGGTACATTCGGCCGAGAGCCCCCCTCACTGCCTCCCCAATAATGCAAGAACTGCGCTCCCCGGCCGGGCAGAGGCGGCGGCGGGGAGCGATCCCGCGGCGGCCCGCAATGGACTGGCGGAGGGCACCGAGCAGGAGGAGGAGGAAGACGAGCAGGTGCGGCTGCTGTCTTCATCCCTGACCGCCGGCTGCAGTTTAAGGAGCCTCTCGGGCGGGGAGGTGGAGCCTGGGGAGGATCGGACGATACGATATGTCCGATACGAATCCGAGCTACAAATGCCCGATATCATGAGACTGATCACCAAAGATCTGTCTGAACCCTACTCCATTTATACCTATAGATATTTTATCCACAACTGGCCACAGCTGTGCTTCTTGGTAAGTGGATGGAATGAAAAGAGGGTGAGCCCAGCAGAGAGATCCAGGCCTTGCAGGGCAGGGAGTGTGAGGGCTGAGTGGCGGTGTATTCTGCATTTCATAGTACATGAGCTGACGTGCGTGCACATACTCCTAGTTATTTAATGAAACGGTTTCGAAGGTAAGACTTCGCGATCTGGGTTAACTTGATACTGATGTAAATGCAACAAGCCTGTATAATGCATGTCGGGGGTCTTGTATCCTGTTTACATTAGCTTATAGTCATGTCTAACCACCTATAATTACTCTCCTTCATCCTCAAAGCACTTTGCAATCACTTAATTTGAACACGGTTCTTTTCGGATACAGGCCTTATTAATCTCTCAATTACAGCCATAATCAGGGGAGAGTGTATGCATAAACATGTTTTGGTGAACATGATTGTCAGTAAACTTGCTGTGGCCACACTGGAGAATTAATCTTACAAGCATGTTCTGTAATTATGGAGTTTGTTTCCTTTTACTTCAACAGGACAATTAACAGTTGTAGCCAGCCTGCTTTCTGGTGCTGGATTGCAGAAGGTGCTACTAACACTTCTGGTGGCTGAAAGACTCCTGAAACTTGAACAAAATACCCTCTTGTGGAATGTAGTAGGAAACTAAGTGTGAAATTGTTACTAACCTGATTTTTGAAAAAAGAAGCTGGTCAGAGATATGCTGAAATAATAGTGGTAACAATGACATGTTACGAAATAACACTTTTTTTTTTTTTAACTTACTTACGTGTAAGCAAAAAATACTTGACTGCCAAATAAGCTGAATAATTTTTTTAGCTTATCAAGTCACTGGCAGTACCAGTAGTTTCTTCTCAGAAATATAGGATAATTTCATTCAGTATGAAACCTTTCACTTATGTATTGACTGCAGGCGTATATATTTGTGTCCTGTATTCACAAGCATGTTGTTACCAGTGAATTTTACTGATGAAAGACAGCATGTTTTTAAGGAGTATTTCATGCTATGTGAAGAGAGAAAAACCACTACCACTGTTTATTGTTTTACAATTAGTTGCACTTAGTAATTCCCTACAAGATATTTCAATACATTAGGATACTTTAGAAATGCCTCTTTTGATTCTGTATCCTGATGATAATGTGAAAATATGACCTTACTATTATAGATAATGGTAGTTCTACTATTTTCTGTTTAATTTGCTAAACTTCAATTTAGTATGTTTATTGAAACTGGAGAAGATTCTCTAAAACTGCTGTTACAGGTTTATCATCAATATATCAAAATAGAAGTTCTAAGCCATGTCTATATCAATGAATATGGAAAAATGATTATATAGCATTATATAATTGTAATTGTTAAAAATTGAAGATTGATTTAACTGGAAGTTAACCTATAAAGTATACAACTGAGTCATACTTTAAATGGAAATACTCTATGTATTGCTATTAATTACAGATAATAGTTGTGTGTATGTGATAGTTGACTTTTGAGTTCTGATATTATCTTGGTCTCCAACATGTCTGCCATTTTAGATTAATATTAGTAAGCTTCAGTCTTGATTTTACATAGATTCCTGGCATTATACCAACTACCTGTACTTTAGCCCTCAGTAGCTGCTTCATTGAGTGGTAAATTTTGAATATCTAGAAATTGAGAATTTCACAAGCGTTTGATCTGTAAGATTTATTAGTGAAAGCATGAATCTGGAGGTACTGATAATAAAACAACCACCAGGATGTTTATAACTGGGCCCTTTATATTGGCACTTTAAAACTTTGATTTCTCTATTTTAGAAATAATAATTTTGGAAGCGTTTTTGATGAAAATAAATTAAGTATCAGAGTAACTTTAAATGTTTATATGTCCAGGTATTTAGTGGCAGAGAGGTGAAGCTAGAACCCAGGTCTCCTAGCCTTTCATTATCATAAGTAAGAATTTGAAAAAAATGAAGTACCTTTGACCCATTCAGCAGAATCATACAGTTACCAAGTTAATGGTTCTTAAAAAGTTCACTCTCTAAGAGACTAGAAACCTTCAAAATGTATGTTTTCATGACTAACCTATAATGGGTCAATGGAATATGAGGTTTAACCTTACAAAATTAACAGTTCTTAACTGTTTTAACAAAATCACACTTCATTTTTCCTAATAATTGTAACTGATGTGAAAGTAAGGTTGTAGTAAAAAAAAGGAGGCACTGTTCAGGTAAGCACTGTTAAGCACTCTGTTTAACTGATTTATCTATACCTCTTTTTAGTTCACAGTATTTTTAGTAGATGCCTTTTAAAGTTCTTAAACTATTAACAACATACGGTAGTATTCCGCTTATTTATTCTAAATTTAACCTTTTGGCTTCCTCCAATTTCCTATTGGTAGGAACTTGGGAGTCTGTTTTACACAATTTATACTTTTCAAATTTTATTGATTGACAGGTCTTTGGCCTTGTAGAGTTAAGTCTTAATCTTGCCAGGAATTTTTTAATTTCCATCTTCTAATAAAAAATACATGTTTAATAGCATCAGTTCTGTATGTATGTATAGATTTTATTTGGAAAAACTGATATGCAGTTTAATGATTCTTGTTAAGTGTATATCCATCAGCAATTTCTGTGGAAAAAAATGCTACATTGGCCTTCCTCACTATAACATTAATAACAGTCTATCTCAGATACTGGGTTTCTCTTTTTAAGTGACATGTGCAACTTGATTTTCACTTGTGCTGATTCTTAATTAGGAAGAAATCAATCTTGTCCAACCATGAACTAAAAATAGTACTTGCTTATTCCTTGGTCAAAGGACAGAGAAGATTTGGTTGAAATTTCTATCCAAGTTGAAGGTATATCCACTTGCATTGTGTCTAGTGATTTTAATTTTTTTCTGTTTTTGACAACTTACTGTGAAGTATAGCTTTCCCATAATTTAGTGTTTTATATTTGCATTGATTTCCATTTTCCTTAGCTTTTGAGGTCAAGTCAAAAACATTTAAGTAGCATTTGATCTATGTTAAACACACACACACTTTCACACTTGAAGTGAATTATTTTCAAATCAGAAAATGCTGTCATTCAGCCAGACAACTTTTATGTATATTTTACCTTGTGAGACAGAAATTTTGAGAATTTTGAGTTCCTGATATCTTATGGCTACTTGCAATTATCATCATAATTAACTTTATGATGATAATGACTGACACAGTCAGGAGTGCCACAAAAAAGGGGTCATCCATGTATCTAGTCTTTGTAGTCCTTTAACAACAAAATCCTTTGTATAGAATCTGAGCAATCTTTTCTCTGAAACTCTGAGACTTTTTTTTCCTGACCAAAATCTACCTTTATTGTTCAGGTACAGTATGGTTTATAACTATAGTTCACTGTATATTTACTGTGATTACGTATAGTACTTTGCTGATAAGCACGTTTTACAATATTATATCTTCATGTATAGACAGTTTCCTGAAAATTCTTTTTTGTGTATTTCCCTCTTTCCAAATTAAAAAAAAGTCTATTGTAAATAATTGCAAGTAGCCATAAGAACCTCTTATATAATACTTCACAGAGTTTACCGTATATAAATCTTTTCCCTCTAGGTTTTGATAATAAACATAGGAAATTTATCTCCTACAAAGTGTTGAAAGCTGTTGAAATTAGTACATTAGCAGGAGTTCTGGGATTTAGATTTTTGAAACTTTAGTGGTTGCTCTTTTGCTAAATTTTTCATTTTCTCTTTCTCCCTCAAAAATGCTGACCAGTGGGTAGGTGCTGTTTCCCTGGGTAATTGTGCAGTACCTGATGGCAATGTATTCTTTATAACTTTTTGTTTATTTTTAAGGCCATGGTAGGGGAAGAGTGTGTAGGTGCCATCGTTTGCAAGTTGGATATGCACAAAAAGATGTTCCGCAGAGGTTATATAGCCATGTTAGCCGTGGACTCCAAATACAGGAGAAATGGCATTGGTAAGAAAAAATACTATGTCACTAAAGAACACATAAATTACTTCATTTTTGTTTTTTGAAGAGATGTAAATGTAAATATGTAGAAATAAGCATGAAGAGAAGTGATTGTTTTTATTTCAATATTTTTTAAAATGTTATTAAATGAATCCCCTTTTTGTAATGCTTTGAGAGATTATCTTTCTAGCAAGTAGAAGATGATAATTTTTGCTTCCAAATATTTTTTTTATCACATTCAAAATATTTCGCTTCTTATAGTTTTTAATAATAATGAAATTGCAGTTTTTATAAGCATTATTAGGGCATTTGATCACAACCTCAAGTAACTGTCTGGATTAAGTGAACCTCAATCAAGCCAAATCATGGAGAAATTGTTAGCTAACGGAGAAGCAGGGGAAAGGGTGTTGTCGTCCCTTATATTTTCCAGTTAATCTTATACCCAAGGTTTCTAAATAATTATAATCATTGTATAGTTTAAAACAGCTGTTCAGGCACCTCCTTGAGAATCTTGTCCTTTTGTAAGTAGAGCTATTGCTTTCCCAGGTGACTGTAGTGTTAGCCTGGTGGAGAACTATTGTCTTGTGTTTAAGACCAACTAATTCTTTGTTCAGGATGGAGGACCAGGTAGATAAGCACTTGTCTGAGCATGTCAAAGTCTTAAATGTACTAAAGCTACTAAATATGAGATTCGGTGTCTGCATCACTAGTTATTAGCAGTAGTTTTTGTCGTTTGTAGTTTTTTTTAAACTGTAAGTGTTACTGTCTAAGATTGTTTTATACAGTCTTAGATGTCATGAGAAATCATTATGAATAGATTTACTTAACATACTAGGTTAAACCAGTTTTTTAATACAATATTATAGCTTATGGTAAGATCTTTAATGACATTTTGTTAAATAAACCCAATTTTTGACTAGTTAAGTAGAGCTGATAAGGACTTAGAACACATAATAGATAACTATCTGGCTTAGTTCAGAGGGTAGAAAATGTTGCCTTGAAAGTTGTGTCCTAGCCCTCAGATTGTTTGGCCCATGTAAAATGTGCTTGCCTTCTGTACATGCTTTAAAAATTAAGAGATTTCTTACAAAGTTTGGATTTCTTAGATCAAATTTGGTGGTTGTTTTCCCTTTAGTATACCAAATATTTCTGACCCCTTAAACTAGGATACATTTTGCTTGACATTTGTAGACACTCTGCCTACATCATTTGAGATTGTCAAAATTGAGTGCTAGATCTTTTGACAGATCTATTTTTAATATATCGAGAAACCGCCATACTGTTTTCCATAGGGACAACTCACAGCAGTTTTGACGTGGTATTTGGCAAATCTGATTCTAGGGTTATATAGTGAGTATTGGCCAGTTCAAAGAATTTCTGGATTGCTTTGGCCAGACTATATCTTGCCTTTTTCTATTTTTTCCCCTTTCTTCCTCCCCCAGTTAGAAGGGCACAAACTTCTGCTCAGAGCAAATAATTCTAACTAAGCAAGAAGGAGTGTAACAGGAGATAGGTTTTTCAAGAGTAAACACTGCTATGTGTGGCTCTGTTGGTCTCTCAGTGTAAACCTAAATTTTTCTCAACATTACCTGTGCTTTTGCATTCAAGGTAGAACTTACATTTACCATTTCTGTATTTATTTTGAGTGTCATAACTTAAGTATCTAAAAAGCTAATCACATTTGTGTTTCATTAACATTCAGATTTATATTCTAGGTACTAACTTGGTTAAGAAAGCTATATATGCCATGGTTGAAGGAGACTGTGATGAGGTAAGTCATCCTGAATGTTTAAGAGCTTTTATTGTGGGCCGTATTCTACTGGATATTTTTATAAATATTCCTTAATAACTGTACTTGAAATTTCATTGCAAATTGTTGCTACACAATTGGAATAATATTATGATGACATATTGTTTAAAAACATGAATTTTGATTTATTCAGTATAACAAATTTTAAGATAATGAATGGAAAACTAAGTATTTTGTCACAAAATGTAATGGTGAAATCTTAGAAAAATTCAGTAAATAATTGGCATTCAGAGGATTTGCTATTAAATCATTAAGGTTGTTATTACAAATCGTACTGTAAATTACTTACATATTGGCTTTAGTTTCTGTGTAACTAGTGTTTTTTAAAAAAAACTGTGGGGCAGTTTTCAACCCATGTGAAGGCATTTCCACGTGGAACAAAAATCTCTCAGCATTAATGAATGTTTAGATAGGAAGGAAAATGATAAATAGAGCTCTCGTATATTAACTTAAGAGTGTCTTCTCTTCAGTTTGTTTACAAGGCTTGACAGAGGTGTACTTTCTTTGTATCCTGTAAATGTGCTTTCACATATAACAGTGTCCAGTAAGTGATGATGGCAGTGTTAAGATTTACAGTTGTATAGTGTAGGAGGGAGCTAGTATAAACTAGGAAAGTGTAGATGTCTTTAACATAGCAGTGGTGACTAAGATGGAACAAAACTGTATTGTGCTAGTAATTTTCTGAGCAATAGAAATGACAGTTGTCTTTATCATTAGAATGCAAATATGCCTTAAAAAATTCTTAACTACTTAAAATAGGTTTTTTTTTGGTAACGTAGTTAATTTATAAGTGGAGTTTTTTTTAGTGCAGAATTTATACACAATCATCAACCATTTTGTGTGTGTGTGTATTTTAGTGTACAAAATCCCTTTTTCCACTGTCCATCACGTAGATGGCCAAGGTCACTACACCTTTTACTTTTTGATATTAGAACTATAAAAAATGTGAAATTGCCACATGTGAATCCTCTAGAATGAACATCCTTATATCCCAGAACTCTTTAACTTTTCATCTTTCTTTTACTTTATAGGTACCATTAATGTTTTGATATGTATACTCATTTCCTAAGCAAATCTATATGCAAATAAGTAATTTTCTATACAGATTAAATCATTAGTATTATTTTGCCATAATTACTTTTTTCATTTGCCAGTATCTCATGAACATACTCTCATGTCACAATACAGAATTTATTGCAGAGCATTCTCATACTAATTCTGTTCACATTAGTTAGTTCACATCAGACAGATCACACTTAAGTGGTAGTTGCATGAGAAAGTCTACAGGCATATTAGACAACGCAGAGAAGTTCTGGGATCTAAGGATGTTCATTCTAGAGGATTCACATGTGGCAATTTCACATTTTTTATAGTTCTAATATCAAAAAGTAAAAGGTGTAGTGACCTTGGCCATCTACGTGATGGATAACTAAAATCTATCAATTTGTAGAAGAATGGACTGAATTTCATGAGTATAAGTTTGTATGTTTGAACTATAGCCACATTGCTTAGCTTGTTGAGAAGTTAGGCTTTTCAAAAGTTGCTTAATAGATTGGAGAAATCTTTGGGAGGATAAAACTATCTTTTGTTACTCTGTTGCTACTGACTAGGATATTATGAGCAGGGAATATTCTATTTCTTAAGAGTAAACCTTTTCTGAGTTACCCGAATCACTACCTGTGAGATAGGCGTGTGGTTTTACCTTAACTGATCAAATGTTTGAATAGTATTGGATATGTGTGTGTGTATGTATATATGCACATACACACACGTATATACACACACTCACATATACATATAAATCATATAAGTCACATATTATTTGTAATTTCTCAGGACTTGGTTATACTGTTTTAGGCAGATTTTGGTTATATTGTTTTAGTGTCAAAGTGAAATCCTAAATTAGGAATATATTTTACGTTGTTTTTTTTTTTAAAGATTTATTTATTCGTACAGAACTGGGGTACAGGCCAGAGATGCGGAGGGTGAGAGGATTCACCAGAGACAGAGTGGGGCACAGAACAGGCAGATCGACGAAGTACACTGCTGAGGGGAGCAGCGGGCGGGTCAGGAGAGGTCTGCCACGCCATGTGGTCACCTCCAGGGCAGGAGGGGATCGAACTCATGCGGAAGTGGCTTAAGCTTCTTTGTGCTGTGTTTTTTCCCGCTGCGCCACCAGGGAGGGCCTTACGTTGGGTTTTTATGCCCAGAATGAAAGGAGTATTTCTAGTTCTAATTAATTTTTCTAATTTTTGAACCGGTCAGTATTAATGTAATCGTAAACTGAAATGGTTTTAAATTGATGGTTTCGTAGTTGAACAATTTAGTCTCTGGAATGCAGAACTTTTCCATGGTTTAAAAATAATTATCTGTATCCTGGGCCTCCCTGGTGCTGCAAGGGGTTGAGTTGCAGTACCATGAGGCTGTCTGCAGCCGCTGTAGCACACGTTCTTTCCCCAGCCAGGCCCCTCAGCAGTGTGTTTCAGTTGATTTGCCTTTTCTCTCTGTTCTCTCCACTCTTTCTCTGGTGAGTCCTCGCCCAATGGCCCCCCCCCCCATATTTCTGGCCTGTACCCCAGTCTTGTATGCATAAAATAAATAAATCTTAAAAAAATTATCTGCCTCCTGTTATAAAGCATTTGTTGTATGAAGGGACAGAACTCTTATTCTTTAAAAATTTTTACTCTCCTTTTAATTCCCTTTAAACCACATAATCAACATACTCTTTTATCCTCTTTTCCATTCTAGTTTTTTATAGTAATGTTTGTTGACTCTACTTCTTATGTTACCAGATATTGATTTGATTTGATTTGATTTCTCCCTCTTCCACTCCACTGTAACTACTTTCTCACAAGTGTGTTTGCTAGACCTAATAGCTTCTTGGTCTTCCTCTTCTTACTAAAATACTTCTCAGACTTAAGACCCAATTCAGATATCAGCAACTCCTTTAAGATTGCCTTAATCTTTCTGAGCAAAATCACTTACACGTTCTGTGATTTTTTTGACTCCCTTTCCTTTGATTTCAGACTTCACTTAAGTCTGATTGTTCAGGCTGCACCTTAGCCTTTATGAAGATGAGAGCAGAGATGTCTTTTCATGTTTACTGCTGTGTGCTTAGCACTTAGTGAGGTATTTATGGTAGAGTTTATGTTTTGTAAATGTATATTAAATGATTAGCTCTGTGATTCCAGCATCTTATGTATACCTATTTTTTTAAATGCTTATGAATTTTGACTTTTTTAAAAAGGGTGTATTTATTTATGTGTACAAGAACTGGGTGCAGGCCAGAGATGTGAAGAGTAAGAGAATTCACCAGGGACAGAGTGGGAAGCAGGACAGGGAGATCAGCTGAAACACTGCTGAGGGGAGCAGTGGGTGGGTCAGGAGTTGGCCTGTATCCCACTTCATGTGGATCACCTTGCTGTGGCTGGGATTGAACTCACACTGAAGTGGCTGCAGATAGCTTCATAGTGCTGACTTAACCCCTTGTGCCACCAGGGAGGCCCCCAATTTTTGACTTTTATACTTAATTGTTAAGCAGTATTTCTGAGCTTTCTGAAAGTTTTCCATGAACAGCAGTTATCTTTATTTTTGTACATAGTAAGATTTAAAAAATTATGTGTATGGTTTAAGATGCTAAGGTATCTTTTGCCAAAATGAAACTTTATGTGTAGAAATAGTCATTTATAGTTCATTGTCCTGAGGAAAATATTGAATTTTTAATTCTCCAAAAATATAATAACTAATTACAAAACAATCAACACATATTACTTTCATTAAGTTAAGTTAAACTGTTAAGAAATTTATTAGCAGAAACCTGTCAGAAAGATGTTTAAAGAGGTTTATATTATGTCATCGACTACTTAGGTTATGTTGCTTTTTTTTGTCCTTAGAAAAAAATTTAAAAATCTATAAAACTACTAACATACATCTCTAAAGCCTTATGCATATCTAATCAATTTTTACTTTTCATCTGTTTGCATAATTTGTAACCTTGATTCATATTTATGTGGCTCTTGGTTACCACTTGTCATTTTAAAATAAATTCACAGTAAATGAAAACTGAATTTGATAACCACAGCTGAGATGTCAATTCATGTTTCTACCCAAGTAATAATGATATACTCTGCTGGTCTAATAGATGTTTTCATTTTGTTTTAGTATACCTCTTAACTTTTTAAATGAGAATTAGATGTGTTAAAACAGCTTAGCAAAAGATCTTTTTCACTTATATTTGGAGCTGACAAAAAGTTATAGTGTCAAAAAAGAAACAAGTGAAGAAATGAATTACCGAATAAGAAATGAATTACTGGTATGTTGCTTTACATTTCCCTACCTCCCCCCATGTGCTTTGGCTGCCAAATGTGTATTGGCTGTTAGGACAAGCATGATAGGCTTGTGTTTTACATAAGGGAAATAGTAAGAAACATACATACAAATAGCTTGAGTGAGTTTCCTAAAATATAATTTTAAAGTCAGATTTGTGTACCTAAAATATTGAGCTCACCTGTTAGCCATTTATCTATGTACTTTTTCTGAAATTAATTTGAATAAGACAGGTGATTAATCATCATGATGAACAGTGCTTTACTTTTTAAACTGTAAATGTCTTTGAAATCTTCCTTTCTGGAAATTTGAATTTCAAAAAATCTTTTTAGGTTTTAAGGTACAGCTGCTATGATGTTAATCGTCAGAATTAACTCATATATAGTGAGAATACACTGGAATCAAAGATTATTAATGGAATTTGTTTTTCTTTATGGAATAAATGTGCTGTCTAAAAACTTTAAAACATTATTAGTTGACAGTTTCCATTTCTCTTCTCAAGTCCGTCCCTGGCAAACACCTTACTACACTGAGTTTGACTATTGAAGTTGCCGCATGAGATCATCATATAGTTGCTGTTTACATGTCCTGCATTGTTTTCTTATAATGTTCTCCAGGTTCACTTATGTTTTACAATACACCCATTTCCTTCTTTTTTAAGATTATTTCATTGTATAGATGTACTACATTGTCTTTATCCACTAATTTGTTGATGGACATACAGGTTGTTTCCACATCCTGTGATAAAAACTATAGTGAACATCAGAGTGCAGATATCTTTGAGATCCCAATTTTAATTACTTTGGGTACATATATAATAGTTATATAGAAGTGGGAGTATGAGGTCTTGTGGTCGTACTGATTTTAAGGAAATGTCATAGTGATTTCTGTAATGGCTGTGCTGGCATATATTCTCACCAACAGTGTATATTTGTATAACCAGTAATAATAACCAGTAATAAGCCTGTTAGGTGAAGACAAAGAAACATACATTTTATGGTAATGTACAAGATCATATTTTAGCTTTTTTTTCCTTTGGTTTAATTATGTTTATCATTTTTAGTTTCATTAGGAATACATTTTGGCAATGAGCCAGAGACTTATGTAAAGAATGAAGTAAAATGGAATTAGCAAGCTGTAAGAATTTTAGGTTGAGTTACTTTGGCCAGATTAAAGAACTGTGATAAGAACTTGGGTTCTAGGCTCACCTTTTGTCATTTAGTATATTTTTATGCTTATAGGCAAGTAATTTAAAACTTTTGGGATGTTTTTCTCTTTAATATATGGTAATGCTGATCTATAAAGAGTATTATGAAAAGCCATAAAGGTCTGCATTCAACTGCATCATTGGGGGAGTCTTATGAGGGCCAGACAGAGTTAGTGCTTAGATACTGGCACTTAGGTCTAGCCCTTAGGATCTGGCACCTTCTAGGAATTTCCTGTCTTTGATATTAAAAAATGATTTATGAAAACTATAATATTTTCACTCATCCTGGTAATGACTAGTTGCAAGAGAATCAATGAAAATTCACTGATATTTTTTCTTTCTGCTAAGTAGAATTTAACTTTGCCAACTTTCTTTAGGACCAAAATAACCTCATTATCCTTTGGCTTCCTGTCTAATAACACTATAATAATGTGGACTGAAAGGGTAGTTTTATATAGACTGTTTCTGGTATAATTTTAGATTCTCTTTTAATGTAGTTATAAGCTTTAAGTTTTTAAATACAAAAAAAGTTTCTAACATTTTCTATTCTGTCAAATAATATATCATCTCTTGGTTTAGAAAATGAGTATGCCAAGAAAGTCTCTTTACTTTAAACTAAGGTTAGTTAGCTCTCTGTATACATTTTTGTAAAGATTTATTTATGCATACAGAGCTGGGGTAGAGGCCAGAGGTGTGGGAGTGAGAGGATTCACCAGTGACAGAGTGGGGATCAGAACAGGCAGATGTACTGAAATGCACTGCTGAAGGGAGCAGCGGGTGGGTCAGGAGAGGTCTGCCATGCCATGTGGGTCACCTCCCTGGCTGGGGACTGAACTCATGCTGCAGTGGCTACGGATAGCTTCATAGTGCTGTGCTTTAACCTTTGCACCGCTGGGGAGAGCCCTTTGTGTACATTTTTTCTCTGTACTTGGACTTCATTTATTTTATATGTTGGAATGCCAACAAACTTTAATTCAACTCTTTATGACAACTCAAGTATGTATGAATCTGTAATTAACCTCAGGTCTGTTTTAAATATTTCATATTATCAAATATTGATGAAGGTGGACTTAGGTCTCCTTCATTATGTCTTAGGTTGGTTAAATATCCCACTTGATGCTTTATTTTACTCTGGAAACAATTAGGAGGAGTTGCAAAAGAGTGGATGCTATTAAGTTCTCATCTAAGTTTGATTCTGGTCTGTCTTTGCTGAAGTTGGCCTTGAGTTTCTTTCATTTGTAAGTTGGAGATAATCGTATTTGTTTCATAGGATTTCTATGGAAATAGCATAGTGACAAGTGCATGTAAAATGACATAGTGCATGTTAAATGCTTTATGTAGTACACAGAACACCTTCAATCAATATTAGCTGTTATTTAGCTTTCCTCTTTATTTTGTGAAATCAGTCTCAGTTCTGAGTTGTTGCTGTTGTATTGCTTCTCATTGTATTGCTTCTCATTGTATTGATTTGACATTTTAGTTGTAATTAGTTGCTGGTCTGAAAGAAATTTCTAGGAATTAGCTAGGAGAATTATTCAAAACCAGAAACTTCTATTGACCAGACTGGAGTGATCCAGATGGGAGAATGGCATACATATTAAAAATTACTGACTTTTTATTCTTACCTTTGTTTGCGCTAAACTTTTATTTAAAGCCTTCCTAAGAACATTTTTCCTTGACCCTTGACAAGCTTTTGCTTGTTTTTAAATTTTCACAAGTTTGCATTTAGCTTGTGATTTGCTTTAAGGAGTTAATTGCATAGGTAATTGCCTTAAGTTGATGCTTTTTCTTTAAGTACTCTTGGTCATTTAAAAGCTTGACAATACCTTTGATTAATATTTGTGACGTATGTGATGTAACGAAAGATTCTAAGTATGTATAAAACTAACAAGTACAGAGGCTTTTACACATCAGTGTTACAAGTGCAGCGGAGACAGCTGTGAAGGGGGTTGTTGCCTTCCCTTGTTGGGCATGAGGTAGGAGCGATGACATACTCGTTGGATGTCGAATGAGAGTGCACTTGAGTAAGGAGCACTGCAGAGGGCTCTAGCCCTTAGGACCTAGCACCTAGACACAAAAGGAAAGGAGTATTCCACAGAGTGTGGAAGCGACAAACTAAGACTAAAGCAAGGATAGGAAGAGGATTCTTCCAGATAGGGTACATAGTTGATGCGAACCATCTAAAGTGGGAAAAAGACTGCTGAGTTCTAGAAATTGTATTGATTTTAGACAGCAAAGAGGGTGAGATCTAATGCATTGCTAGTGGTCTAGGGAGAGGTCTTAGTGGGTCTTTCAGGTCTCCTAGGTTATGTCTTGGGCACAAAATGGAATCGATAAATGGTTTAAAGCAGGACATTAACAAGAGTATCACTCTACTTGTAGAGCGAGATCTATTTTTTGGAGACTCTGGTTACAATGAAAGGTGATATCAGTGGGGATAGAAAGAAGAGAACCAAATGGAGAGCAAGTAGAGAATTCACACACTCAATGCTTGGATATATGCACGGAATGCAAGGAAAGAGGTTTAAAGGTTTTAAGTTTGAGGCATTGGTGGCATGAAGATGTTACTGATAAGGAGTAATGTCTAAAGGAGTTGATTATGAGTTCAATTTAAGATACAATGATCTGAGATGTAATCTTTTTTTGATAATTTGAGATACACAAGAAAGTTTTTTGATAATTTGAGATACACAAGAAAGAGACATTTTGCTTCACTTAGGCCTTTGATCAGTTGTGCTTTGCCTTTTTCTCCCTCACTCTAAGCCCCTGAAAATTATGATATCCCAGCAGTATCTGTGCTATTCTATATTGGTAATTCTCAGTGAAATAGATTGAGAATCAGTAGAGAGGATGGGGTAAATGATGTTTTGGTAGAGGAAGGTAGAAATAAATGAAGAAAATCATATAATATTCAAAAGTATCAGCCCTTTGTTGTTAGAACCATTAGTTCAGTAATATTGAAAACTCAATGGAAGTTAATACCCTATGTGTCTGTTAAGAGTTGCTATCCATAATATCTAGACAGTGGTTCTCCAAATGTAGACACCTGCTCAGTGACTTCACCTGACAAATTGTTAAAAATGTGAATTTGGCCCCATTGTAAGCCTCTTCAAATTCTGGGGGTGGGGATCAGAATCTTATTGTAATTTGCCCTCCTGGTGTTTGAGATACATTGATGTTTGGATACCTTGGGGCTAGGTTGGCATACTTTCTCTGCATAGAGCCAGGCAGTAATAAATATTTTAGACTTTGTGGACTGTAGGCCTCAGTAGGAATTCTTCACCCTTTTGTTGAGAAAGCAACCCTTGACATCTTGTAAACAAATGGACATGACTATGTTCTAATAAAAATTATGTCCAAAAACAGGCAGGCAGGCCCATTTGGCCCAAGAGCTGCAGTTTGCAGACTCTAGTCAAATATGGTCATTGTCACCAGGGGTATATAGTGACAAATTAATGACACTATACGTGTTGGAGGTCAATACAAGTAGTTTCAAGTACTGGTTTATTTTCTTAAATCTTTGATTGTTGACGTTTTTCTTCCCTTCATCTTTTTTTCATACTACTTTTCTCCACAGGGATACAGTTGTTTCTGTTGAATACACAACAAAATACATACTCGGTTTTTTCACTGCTAAAAATTGCAAACACCAAAAAAAAAAAAAAAAAAATCAGTGGAATAGAAAATAAGTTCCCAGTGTTCACACTCTTGTCCCAAGAGATTATTACAACTTTGATGGCCATTTTTTTCTGTGCATCACTAAGAATTCATTGTTTTCATATCACCTCTCAAATAATGTGTTCTCTTAAATATTTAATCCAATTGTTTACTTTTTAAGTGATTTGTCCAATTATGAAATTATTAGTTTCGAATATATAAAATTGTAACAGTTTTCTCTTATTTTTTTTGAAGGTGGTTTTGGAAACAGAAATAACAAATAAGTCTGCTTTGAAACTTTATGAGAATCTTGGCTTTGTTCGAGATAAGAGGCTGTTCAGATACTATTTAAATGGAGTTGATGCACTGCGACTTAAATTGTGGCTGCGTTGAGAAGCTGACATCAAGGAACAACTTTCTAACCATGAAGAATCGACCTTTGCATGCAATGCAATTTGTACAGAATTGCTTTGCAGGTGGATTTAGTAATTTCCATGCAGCTCTTATCTGTCAGTGTCTCATTGAGTGTCGCACAATATTTGTTGCACTTTGGCATGGCGCATTTGTTCTGAATTAAAAAAGATTGTTTTAAACTTCAAAAGCTCTTTGGTACCAACATGATGTGCCAGTTGATAGCCAAGATTTGTTTGTTCATTTGCTAAATCTGCTGACAAATATTATTTACACAGCGGTCATTTTATCACAGAACCAATAAGTGGAACATGATTTTTGTTCCTTTAAAAAGCCAATGTAGTTTGTAAAATTTCTTAAGTATACTAACATTTCACAAGAAACCTGCCATAGTTTTCTGAAGGGGGTGGGGGAAAGCTTCAATTTTAGGTTTTATTTTTTCAATATTAAATTTTCCATTCTTGAATATTGGTACCTCAGTGATTAGTGAATGAAAAAAAATGTAATGTAGGGTTGGGTGTGTCTTACAATGAGTAAAGATAACAATTAAATTGCGTCTGCCAGTGCCTGTGTAGATAAGTATATTTGTCTTCATCTCTAGTTTTTGAATGCATGCTGTCTTTTCTTTTGAAGCCTCTGCAAGCAAACTTGTTTTTATTTAAATTCTAAATTTGATAATAAATTATTTCAGATTTTTATAATTTGGATACTTTTTCCAGGTGAGTGACAGAGTGTTTTACTTTAGGAGTCCCTTTTTTCTTTATAGTAAGAGGTTGATCTGCCGGGAAAAATCTTTGACAAACGGCTTAAAAGGGATGAGAAAAGTTGATGGAGCCAGGATTGCTGGGTTTCCGATGCACTTTTTTTGAGATTTGAGGGACTTTTGGGAAAAGAATAGAAAATTAATGTAAATTGGTATGATTTTATTTAATCAAAAGTATTGCTTTAGCTTTGAAAAATGGTTTCACAAAGTAGTTGGAACTTTTTCCCCACTTGATTGGATTCACGTTGCTTCCATTTCTTAAAATGCTTCACTTTTGGTTCTTGGTCTTGGAAATAAATTTCAAGGTACATTGTAACCATTTACAATTGATTTTACTTTCTTTTCATTTATTTGAGCAATTTCTTGAGGGAACTTTGCTTAGTTCCCAGAAAAAGAGATGGAATTTTTTTTTTGAAATGAGTTCTGTGGTTTTCTTAATAGCGATCACCATGTTATTGGTTACATTGTGTTTTGGCCAGTCAGTGCAATGTAACAAATTTTAAACTTACTGCTTTCAGTTGAGTCAAGAACCTGTGGCGGATAATTTATTTAACTGAAAAACCTAGGTACCCGTAAAAAAAAAAATTCTCTGAAAAATGTTTTGTTAGGAATCTGTGCTTTTTCTTTCTTTAATTTGGATATGCTTTACTTCTGCTCTAGGATTTGGTTTTAATTTTATTTTATGACTATCATTACTGTATTTTAAAAAACCCTACCTCCATTAACAGTTGGTAAAAAGCCCCCTTTCAGGAAAGTTTGTTGCCTTTTTTTTTTTTTTTAAAGGAAAGCTGCTCCTTGCTCAGGTGTCTTGAAAGTGAACATGGTAACAAGCACTCTTAAAATATACACAGATTTAATGAAAATAAAATTTTCCTGCTGGTGGGATCATTAATTCTTAAATTTAAAGGAAACATTGCATTTTATATTATTTTTTAAAAGTTTAATGGACAGAATACTGGTTGCATTAAAAATATGATAACCACACAATACTCAGCTTCCCAGCTGAACATTTTGAGTATGTTTTTGGTCAGACTCACTTGGGCGCTAGTATTTAGAGGAATATAATCATAGTGATGGAGGGAACTGAATTAAATAGTTCGGTACTTATGTCATCAGATTTTTATCTCACCACTATTTGAATTGCTGATTCATAAGTAATGACTATGGATGAACATACATTTACTTAACTGTATGTTGATGAACGTATAGTCCTACAGTATATACATACTAGATTTTCTGTTCAATTATTATGTTTTTGGCAGGTTTTTGATGAAACATTATTGACCTTCCCCCAGAGCTGACCAGATTTTGCTGAATTGACTAGGTGTTTGCAAACATGGCATTAACTATGTTTAGTTGGTGGCCATATTGTTCACCTGGTGTATGTAGAGTATCAGTGTCTACCTTTTGTCTTTAAATGGCTAAGCATTTACTTAGACTAAATGTTTGACCTCTAGCCTGATAACCTGCACCAAAATGAAGTCTCTTTTCCAGTTAAAGTAGCGTCAAACATTAACTCACTTTTTGATATTGGGCTTTCATTTTGCTTATGTAATCTTAAAACAATTTAAATTGATAGTTCACTTGGCTAAAACTGAGCAAAATTGGTGCAACTTTCTTTTAATGGGGTGCTGCCTCTTTAAGACTGACTGTACTATCCACTGACACTGGTTTGGCAGTTGGTACTGCTGAACATTTTTATACATGCTACCATGAAGCTATATATGTTAGTATTGAAGAAGCTCTAACGGGTATACTACCATTTTTGATGTGTGGGCTAATTATAATTTCCCTTACAATAGGATGAAACTACTCTAGAGAAAGTCCACAGATCAGAAACCAGACATAGTTTTTGAAGTTGAAGCCAGCAAATAAAAAAAAAATTATTAAAAATTTGTTTTTGATATTTTCTTCCTCTCTTCCCCAGATTACCCTCCCCACTTGCTTGACAAATCTGTAAAGGAGTTTGTTTGTCACGTTTTAACTTAACCTTGCCCTGTGTTATGGTATTGACTGACATGTATAAGACTGGATGTGTATATTTATTATGGTATCTAAAAATCATGAAGCTCATCACTTTCCAGGAGCTTAGATAGAGCCAGATGGTGTGCATCAGTCACTTCTCAGTGCACCGTGACTTCACTAAAGAGAGTGTTAGGCTGTTACAGGGCTTTCAGGTTTGTAAAAACATAACCATAAGTTATATTGACGTCAGATATGAGTTGAGTATCTATAAATTATCACGTGTATCTCAAAATATTGGACTGCTGTTTGATGACTGGATTTTGCTGCAAACTTTTCTTCTATTGTCCCGTATCCTTTTGGAGAGAGAGATTTAATGGGATTTGAAATGTGCAAGCTGTCTAAATAAGATGCAGTCAAATAAAGTATGGTTAAGTTGTGTTTGCATTTTTCTTTTAGATACAGCTGTGTGCATTTTATGATTGGGTTGTTTTTCCTACTAAGAAAAGTCTATTCTGTTCTCCATTTCCTGACTTCCACCCAAGAATTTGAAAGAACTGATAGTACAATTGTTACCTTTCTACTTGGTGTTTTGACAAAGTAAATTTGAAAATAACAAGAACTTGATTTTCCTAAAAATCAAAGTCAACTCATATATCAGATATCAATACAAACAACATTTTTGCATGCATTAAACCAAAACTTTTTTTCAAAACTTTTTTATCCTTGTTTCATGGACAAAATTTTACTCCTAAGACAGTTTTTAATTTATATTTGTCATCTCCCCCCTTTGTTAAGATTCCAAAGTAAAATAGAGCAATGTTTAAAGGGCTTTTTGCCCCATTCTTGTGAGAAACTTTTAAGTGGTAGTTATAATTCATTGTTTAGGATATTAGTAAAGGAGATCTGTTTTAATCATATGACTTCTAAGTGACCCACCATGCATGCCAAATCTTCATTTCATTATAGGCATATTGTACCAATAATCCAAGTTCATGTTTGGCTTGCACCTTACATGGAAATCTAAATACTTTAGAAATTATATGAAGAAAGACCAGAAAATTGATACCATTCTTTCATATCTGTGAACAAAGTTGAGTATTAATCTCTGACCCAGAGATGTAGTGATATTTAAGTTTACAAAGTTTGAAACTCATGAGCACAGAGCATGCTGCACTTTCTGTGGATTAGTGCTATCCAATAGCATTTTTTATGATGAAGGAAATGTTCTTTGTGGTCTTCATTATAGTATTTACAAGTAACACGAAGCTGCTAAGCACTTGAAAAGTGGTAGTGTGGTTAAGGAACTGAATATATAATTTATTGGGTACTTACATAGCCACCATGTGGTTAGTGGCCACTGTATTATCGGAATAACATAGCTTTAGATAATATTTAAGCAGTAATTAAAGGAAAGCATTTTATGAATATAATTTTAAAGTCCATACTAGAGAATTTGTCACAATATGAATGGTATTCGAGCAAGGGTGTATAGCTGCACTGCTTATGTTGACAATCTATTTCATTAATGTGGTGTCAATACCCCTCTTCCTGGCCCTGTTGTATGTACCTTCGGAGTAAAGCAGCCCTTTCAGTTTTAATTTGGAAGGTTTTTGGGTTGCAGAAATGTACAGATTAAATTAATATGCCAAAATTTTGATTTCGGATAAGCTTGTCATCTTTTTATCCTCAAAAACACTTTACATAGTTTAAGCCTAATAATTTCTCTTGAAATTAATCTCAAATCGAGTGGTCTCAAATCGATCACTTCTCATTTTACAAGTGGCCAAATGAGCACAAAGTATATCCTATTGTACTTTTTTTTTTTTTGGCTAAATTGGAGATAATTCATGTTGATGCAAAAATAAGTGTCTTTGCTTCTGAGAGACCTAGATTAATTTGCTGTGTTGTACAGCCATGGTGTCTACACCTCTCCATTCTAGTAAGTAAGTAATCAAAAGCGCAGGAATGGGGCTGGAAATACTTGGCCAAAGCCTGTGCCTATCTTGGTACACAGTGAATACTGCTGAGGAAAACTCAAAGCACACATGGGATAACAGTCAGTGACTAAGCTTCATGTGAAAAAGACCTCGGTATTAAAAAAAAAAAAATAGACCACCAAAGTGCCAAAATCTCTCTACTTTAAAAAAATGTAAATGCAGGGGTTATAATGTAAGGTTTTGATTGTGTTTAGAAATAAGCTCAGTTACAATGGATTTTCATGACTACCTCCTTGCTGTATCAATATCTCAATTTCTAATACCTCAATTTCCTGAAAATCTGTATGTACTTTTTTTTGTAAATAAAATAATTTAGCACATGCTAGGGGAAGGACTTGGCTTTTAAAGAAATTGTATAAAAGCATCTGTTAACTGGATTTGTTACACAGTGAATTGATTTGAAATTTCTTAACGTTTTGTAGACTTGTGGTCCCCTTGACTGAAGGTTGTTTTTTGTTTTGTTTTGTTTTGTTTTTTTTAGTGAGCATCTTCTTATACTTAGTGATATTTGTGTTCCAGGAAGTGTGTACCCTCATCTGTTCATACAAAGATTTGTATGTCCCTCTGTTTTCTTTTCATGCCAAAGAAACTCACCCTTTATCAAAGCCAGCAGGTTGCACAAGCTGAAAATTGTTTTACCCCTTAAATAGGCATTCTTAAGCTTTACTTCCTGGGACTTTAATGTTTCCCAGAGAAGATACTTTCAGTTTTTTAGTTGAAGCCAGTAGTAGTAATTTGTTTAAATGCCTGTTTTTAGGAATGCACTAGTTCCATTAAACAGTATTCATAAGTTTAAGGAACTATGCTGCAAATTAAAATCCACAGTTGTATCAAACTTCTTAAAATTGGTATAAAATACCAAGTGATTGCTAAATTTGTAACTGTGAACTCAGGATTCAATGCCCTAACATAGGAGATTGATCACTATCATATTGAGGGTCAAATTCTCCATGTTTGTGATATGTGTTGATCATTGTAAGGGGACTGAATCGACTGCCTTAAAGCTAAACCTGCTGCCTTTAAACTTTGCTACCTCCCTCTCCAATCATGGCTGTAAACAGTGACTGCACAGTCAGCTAGCATTATATTTGATTTTATGTGAATGCAAATAAAATAAAATTTTAAAGTCCTCCAAGTATTGACTTAACTAGGAAATGTAAACTGATTTCAACCTTGTCTTTGGCCAGATCTACTTGATAGCTTATGATTATTTGAGAGTACATCAAAATGGATGTGAAACTTGTGTTTGAATTACTGTGGGAATAATTCATATTTGGAGATGAGAAATGAACATTTAAAGTGTTTATTTCCATTCTGAAGATACTGGGCATGTTTTTAAACTTTTTGAGCCTTTAGTGATAAATGAGATAATTTATGTAACCCCCTATAACAATGCCTGGTAGCCTGGTATGTAAGTTAAAAAAAAAAAAGATTGCTGTTATTTGTATACATGCGAATTTTGGTATTTAATAATTTTATATTTTGATATTAGGTTTTCTTTAAACACATTCAACTTTTTAAAATAATGTGTTTCTACAGAACATAGCATGCAAATTATAAAATTCATCTCAATATTTGATTTTATGAGACTAGTGCAGACTGTAACAAGTAGGGAAAAAACCCCTTGCCTTTTTATTGGAAATATTGCACTAGGTGATAGAAGAGTACACTGACCTCACCATGTTCCTATCAACCATGCCCAACTCAATGGCCAATCTAACCCTACCCATACTCACACCCACTTTCACGTTTTTCAAAAACCAATTCCAGGGTATAATGTTTCAGTATTGACATGGGTAAAATATCATTTTTAAAAACAAGGCTACAGTACCATTACACACATACACACACAATCCATATTGTCATACAGTTCTCTTTCAAAGAGGATGAAAAGATTTCTGTTACAAGGACAGTAGACAAATTAGTAGGAAGCCTGGAGGGTCAGACGA